AAAAAAAAAAAAATATAATCATGACTGATTTGAAAAATGCTGTGCTGCATATTAAAGTGGTACACAAACATTATTTTAATTGTCTGTTAATTGTCTGAGAGGTAGGTAGTAAGCTCTTTTAAATAGAAGCTGATTCTCTGTCCAGAATTGGAAAGTCCATTTATATGCACCTGTAGAGTAGGAAGCAACCTGCCCATTGTTGCATGCCAGCTCAGCCTGCTGTGTTTCCAGCTCAGGTTCCTCCTGCTTTGTGGTTACCATCTCCGATTTCCACTAGCATTTAAATGTTCAAATTACATGGTACAGACTGTATTTTATTGTTTAATATTATAGTGTTTTCTACTTGTTTTATATTTATTATTCTTATCTCCTCACCTAAAATCATAGAGTTAGAGAGGCATCTTGGAAATTATCTATTTCAAACTCTAATTTATAGATGAGGAAGCTGAAGATCAGGAAAGTTGCGAGTTGTCTTTTCTCATAGTTGGTTACTGGCAAAACTGGAACTAAAACCCAAGTTTACTAACATTTAGCCCATGTTTCTTAAAATGTCATTCTTTATAACTGCTTACTTTGGAACATGGGGATCACAACTAGGGACTCAAAAATAATTGTAGATTATCAGAACCATTAGTTTCAAATAAAATTTAGTAAGGAACTCTCTGTAAGTTATATTCTATAGTATTGTAGTAATTGATTCTGATACCTTAATCTAGCCACATAGTATTCTAATTTAAATTCTCTATTTTATATTATGTCTCTCTGAACAACATATAGGCTGTCATCAATGAGGTCAATGCCATTCCCAGCTTAGGTGCATGACATGTTTCAGGGGAAAAAACATCCATGTCCCTGTTTTTGTTTTTTTTTTAAATCTATGGATGGTAGAAGTGGATCTGGAACCTGAGATCACCAAGCAGACAATGAGACAGAAAATCCTTGGCTGATAGATTATTTTGTTACAGTATCATTAAGTTCTTTGAAAATTCCATGCCACTTTAAATTAATTCCCCTAATTTTTACAACATGCTTAAATGTGAGACGCGATAAACTAGACAGAAGTTGATTTTCTCTTAAATAATATTGTAAGCCCTAGATTAAAAATAGCACCAGCACAGCAAACATAGAGCACAACTATTACTCTTCATCATTATTTGTATCTTATTTTCTATAGAATCTGATCAAAAATATTCCATTTCCAGGTTTAATTTATGTAGTTGGGGGCATCAGCAATGAAGGAATAGAGCTTCGTTCTTTTGAGGTTTATGATCCACTTTCTAAGCGTTGGTCTCCACTTCCTCCAATGGGAACCAGAAGAGCATATCTTGGCGTGGCTGCACTCAATGACTGCATCTATTCTGTTGGAGGGTGGAATGAGACACAGGATGCTCTTCATACTGTAGAAAAATATTCCTTTGAAGAGGTAGGTTGGATGATTTCAAATGTTTAGTATCTGGTATTCTTTAATGTCTTTAAGATCTGTAGTGATATACTCTTTTTCATCCATGATATTGGTCATTTGTGGGTTTTTTTCTCTCTCTCTTTTTCTTTTCAAAGACTCAACTTTTGGTGCTGTTGATTTTTTTCTATTGATTGTCCATTTTCTGTTTTATCAATACCTATTCTTATTTTTTACTTTATCTAATTTGTTTTGGATTTAGTTTGCTCTTCTTTTTCTAGATTCATAAAGTAGAAGCTTAGATGATTGATTTTAGGCCTTCCTTTTTCTACAATATAAACTATAAATTTTCTTCAAGTACTGCTTTAACTGCATCCCACACATTTTGATATGTTGTGTTGTTTTGTTGTTTTTTTTTTTCCTTTTTGAGACAGAATCTCACTTTGTTGCCTGGGCTAGAGTGCCGTGGCGTCAGCCTAGCTCACAGCAACCTCAAACTCCCAGGCTCAAGTGATCCTTCTGCCTCAGCCTCCCGAGTAGCTGGGACTACAGGCATGCGCCACCATGCCCAGCTAATTTTTCTCTATTTTTAGTTGTTTGGCTAATTTCTTTCTATTTTTGGTAGAGACGGGGTCTTGCTCTTGCTCAGGCTGGTCTCGAACTCCTGAGCTCAAACAATCCTCCCGTCTCGGCCTCCCAGAGTGCTAGGATTACAGGCGCGAGCCACCGCGCCCGGCCTATCTCTGGTAATATTCTTTGTGTTAAAGTCTACTTTGTCTGATAGTATTGTAGCCATTAATGTAGCCGAGCTTTCTTTTTTTTTTTTTTTATTTCAGCATATTATGGGGGTACAGGTGTTTAGGTTACGTATGTTGCCCTTGCCCCCCTCCCCAAGCTTTCTTTTGATTAGTTTTTACATGGCATATCTTTTTCTTTCTACTTTTTTTGTTGCTCAGGCTGGAGTACAGTGGTGCAATCATAGCTCACTGTAACCTTGAACTTAAGGACTCAAGTGGTCCTCCTGCTTCAGTCTCCTGAGTAACTATGACTACAGGTGTGTGCCACCATACCTGGCAAAATTTTTTTTTACTTTTTGTAGAGACAGGGTGTTGCATGATGCCTAGGCTGGTCTCAAACTCCTGGCCTCAAGCATTCCTCCACCTTGGCCTCCCAAAGTGCTAGGATTACAGGTGTGAGCCACTGCACACAACTTCCTTCTACCTTTTAACCTATCTGTATCTTTATAAATTGCACTTCTTGTAAACAACCTGTAGTTGTGGTCTGTTTTTAAATCCAGTTTGACAATCTCTGACTTTTAAATGGTTTTTAGAGTTTATATTATTTATTTATTAAATATGAAATGTCTGATTGGAATTCATTGAACTTCTTGAATCTGTGGGATCATTGCTTCCATCAAATTAGAAGGTTTTCTGCCACATTTTTTCAAATATTCTCCCGCTGCCTTTCTGGAAATCCAATTATACATGTATGTAAGACCACTTGATATTGTCCCATTTTCACTGAGGCTCTGTTTATGTTTTTCCACTCCTTTTTCGCTCTGTGCTTCAGTTTGGATAGTTTCTTTTGCTTTGTCTTCAAGTTCGTTTACCGTCTGCAGTATCTAAACTTCTAATTTGCAGTGTCTAATCCCATCTGTGGAATTTTCATTTCAGATATTTTTAGCTCTAAAAGATTTATTTTTTTAAATGTTTTCTGTTTCTTTCCTCATTATGTTCATGTTTTCCTTTAGATCCTCAAACAATTAATAATATCTGTTTTAAAGTCCTTGTCTGGTAATTTCATCGTCTCTGTTATGTTTAGATCTGTATCTGTTGACTTTTTTTTTTAAAGAGATGGGGTCTTGCTATATTGCCCAGGCTGGCTTTGAACTCCTGGGATCAAGCAGTCCTCCTGCCTCAGCCTCTTGAGAAGCTGGTACTAGAGGCATGTGCCACTGTGCCTGGTTTGTTCACTTTTTTTATTCCTGGTTTGAGTCACATTTTTTCTGCTTTTCTACATTTCTGGTAACTTTTGACTGGACACTGGATATTGTGAATGTTATGTTGCTGAGCATTTGGATTTTGTTTTCCACTTTTAAGAAGTGTTGAGTTTAGTTTTGGTAAGCAGTTTAATTATTTACAAATCATATTAATCTTTTTGAGACTTGTTTTTATCAAAAAATTATTTTAAAAGATTCTTTTTAGAGATGGGATCTTGCCTAGGCTAGACGCAAGCTCCTGGGCTCAAGCAATCTTCCTGCCTTAGCTTTCCTTCCAAGTACCTGGGACTATAGGCATGTGTGACAGTGCTCAGCTTGAGATTTGTTTTTAAGCTTTGTAGGAAAGGTCCAGAGTAACCTTTCCTTTAGGTTTAGTTTATCTTTACTACTAAAGCATGACTTTTCTTGGATCTCTACTGAATGCCCCATGTGTTCAACAAGGTCTCTTCACTTTGGCTAGTCAGAACTAAAATATCGCCTAGCCTTGTGTGAGCTCTAGGAATTGTTCAGCTTACAATTTCTCCCATTAGTTGTTCATTGCCTGTTCTCATGGAGTCTCACCGTAGCACGATTAGTAGTATTTAGCCAAAGACTCAAGAGGACCTCTATCCTCTGGCAAACTCTGATCTCTGTCTTCAAAGTCAACTGACTGTCATGATTTGCTTGGGATACCCTTCCCTGTGCCTCTTTTCAGAAAGCCCTTCCAGGCCTAAAGTCTAGATGACCATAGAGCTCACTTTGTTTGTTTCTTTTTCTCAAGGATCACAGTTTTGTATTGCTGGTTGTCCAGTGTCTGAGAACTTTGTTTCTTATATTTTATCTAGTTTTCTAGGTGTTTTTGGCAGGAGGGCAAGTTTGGTAACAATCTATTATGGCTGGAAGTCGAAATCCCTCCTGTGTCCTTTAGATATGTTTCTATCATTCATTCAGCATTTCTTTACTTTCTGGCAGAAATATTTTAAGCTTATCTTGTACTTTTCTCTGTTCTAGCCCTGAAATCAGCCATTTCCCTAAGAAACTTCATTTTCTTTTAGTAAAGAACAGTTTAGAAACCAAGATCTATACACTCAGTTTAAGTCAGATTTCTCTTAATATAGTTGACCAAGGAAACTCAAGTTACCTAATTCCTATTAATAATACAAAAAAATATAAGTATTCCATTGAAATTAATTTGGGAAAAGTTGACCTTATCTATAAATCTAGGGCATAACACATCTTGTACTTGATTAACCCAACACTTAACACATTGTAACATAATTGTCTATTTATTTCTCTATATTCCTCACTAAAATGTAGCCTCCTTGAGAGCAGTGGCCTTGCATGTTTAGTCCATTCTTGTTGCCCCTGCTATAATTGTTGCCAAGGTGTTGCTGCTTCTAGGTACCCTCAGTAAACAGAGCTAGGAAATATATGTATGTATATATGTATTCACACACATATTCATCTTTGTCTATATCTATTTGTGTATTTATATTTTAAAACCATGAGTTCATAGTGATAGCTCCAATTCTAGAACAACACCAGGTTCTTTCAGGCCTTCTCCCTTTTCACATTTATAAATATCTTGCCTGTCAATTAAAAACTTGCCTTCCAGGCTGAGCATGGTGGTGCATGCCTATAGTCCTAGCTACTCGAGAGGCTGAAGTGAGAGGGCCGCTTGAGCCCAGGAGTTTGAGGCTGCAGTGAGCAATAATCACGCCACTGCACTCCAGCCTGAGTGACAAAATGAGATCTTGCCTGTAAAAAAAAAAATTTTTTAAACTTGTCTTCCATTGTCCTTAAAATATCTATTTACTTAAAACCAATCCCCCTGCCACACTAGCTATCTTCTCCACCTGCCACCTCCACGCATTACTCATCCTGTCACTCCCCAATGTTCCATCATGTTCAGTTACTGGGTTGACTCAATTATGCTAGTGAAGGAAGAGAACAGAAAGATAGGGAATGGCAGGTTGTATCTTTATTGAACCACTGTTCTGTCATGTATTTGTTCATTAGTTTATTTATTCACAAATACAGACTTCGTAGTATGTAAGTATGGATCAGACACTATAGCAGGGGCAACAAGAACGGACTAAACATGTAAGGCCACTGCTCTCAAGGAGGCTACATTTTAGTGAGGAATATAGAGAAATAAATAGACAATTATGTTACAATGTGTTAAGTGTTGGGTTAATCAAGTACAAGATGTGTTATGCCCTAGACTTATAGATAAGGTCAACTTTTCCCAAATTAATGTCAATGGAATACTTATATTTTTTTGTATTATTAATAGGAATTAGGTAACTTGAGTTTCCCTGGTCAACTATATTAAGGGAAATCTGACTTAAACCAAGTTTAGTTAGTTTCTTTACCACAGGACTTCTTTACAGAATTTAGTACAATAATGTACTTTATGAACCTTTATGCTAAGTCTCTCAAATTCAATTGACCACACCACCTTTCTTTGTTTTTTGGATATTTGTGGAACATCTTGTGGAAAAAAATGTTTCAGGGAACATATTTTGGGAAATAAGGATTATTTTATTTGAATTTTATGATTTTTATGCCACTTATGGTTAGTAAAACATTCAAAACTTTTAAGATTTTTTTCTCTTTTCCTACTTTTTTTTAAGAAGAAGGATTTTAACAGCTTTATTGAAATATAATTCACCCACCAGACATTTTGGTTGTTTCTACTTTTTGGCCATTGTGAACAATGCTGCTATGAAGGTTTGTGTACAAGTTTTTGTGTAGACACATGTTTTTATTTCTTGTGGGTATGTATATAGGAGTAGAATTTCTGCGTCATGTTGTAACTCTATGTCTAACCTTTTTAGGGACTGCCAGTCTGTTTTCTAAAGTATCCACACTATTTTAAATAACCACCATCAATATAATAGGGCTCCAGTTTCTCTACATCCAATGCTTGCTATTATTTGAATTTTCTGATATAGCTGTCATAGTAGGTATAAATTGGTATCTCATTGTGGTTTTGATTTGCATTTCCCTGGTGGCTAATGATGTTCAGCATCTTTTCTTGTGTTTACTGGTCATTTTTATGTCTTCTTTGAAAAAATATCTATTCAGTTTGTCCATTTAAAATTGGATTATTTGTCTTTTTATTATTGATTATAAGAGTTTTTTATATAATCTAGAAGCAAGTCCTTTGTCAGGTATATGATTTGTAAAAGTTTCTCCATTATATGGGCTTTCTTCACTTTCTTGATGGTATTCTTTCTTAGAAGCACAAAATTTTAAATTTTGATGTCCAGTTTATTTTTTGTTTTGCCATTTGTGCTTTTCGTGTCATAAGTAGGAAACAATTGCTTAACCCAAGGGCATGAAGGTTTACAACTGTGGAGCCCACCCAGGGACACCAAAAAAAAAAAAAAGATTTACACCTGTGCTTTTTTCTTTTACTTTTCTCACTCTGTTGCCCAGGACTGAGTGCAGTGGTGTGATTGTAGCTCACTATAACCTTGAACTCCTGGGCTCAAGCAATCCTCCCACCTCAGCCTCCCAAGTAGCTGATACCACAGACATGTGCCACCATGCCTGGCTAATTTTTAAATTTTTTGTAGAGATGGGGTCTTGCTATGTTGTCCAAGCTGGTCTAGAACTCCTGGCCTCAAGCAATCCTCCTGACTTGGCCTCCCAAAGCACAAGATAGCATATACTATCTTGCTTATTGTAGTTTTGTAATAAATTTTGAAATCAGAAAGTATGAGTCCTTCAAATTTGACCTTTTAATAACAATTTTGCTATTCTGGGTCCCTTGAATTTCATATGAATATTAGGATGAGCTTGTCAATTCCTGCAAAGAAGCCAACTGGGTTTTTGAGAAGGATTGATTGCATCTGAGATCAGTTTGGAGCGTATTACCATCTTAACAATATTAAGTCTTTTGATTTATGAACATGGGATGTCTTTCCTTTTATTTAGTTCTTCGGTTTGTTTCAACAATGTTTTATAAGTTTTAGTTTTCCTTGTCCTTTTTGGTTAAATTTATTCTGATGTATTTTATTCCTTTTGGTGCTATTGTAAATTGAATTATTTTCTTAATTTCATGTTCAGGTTGTTTATTGCTAGTGTGTAGAAATACCATTGATTTCTGGATATTGATCTTGTATTCTGCAACCTTGCTGCACTCATAATTTAATAGGTTTTTTGTGGATTCCTAAGGATTTCCTATATGTAAGATCATATCCTCTATAAATAAAGATTGTTTTACTTTTTAAATCTGGATTAAAATTTAGATGTCTTTTATTTCATTTTTTCCCCTAATTGCCCTGGCTAGAATGTCCAGTACAATGTTGAATAGAAGTGGCAGAATGGACTTCCATGTCTTGCTATAAAGCATAAGGATTTTAATTCTCATTTCTGACAAGTTTTAAACTTTGGTCACTTTCTGTTGCTAATTTTTCTATATGGCTATGAAATGAATAGGTTTTAGTTCCAAAGTAAGTCTTAGTAATAATGAGTTACCTTGGGTTTTGATGCATAAATCTGAAATTTTATTGTTCTTTAGAACAATAAAACTAAAGTTCTACATTATAGCTCCAGACCTAAAGATAATGTAAAATGTGTTTGTGGTCTTACAGAGTTTTTTGAGGTAGCATGGGATTAAAAAGCAAACTGTAGTTCTAATACATTAATAGAAATGAAAGATAAACAATATGGGTGAGTCCTGTGGTCCCTTTATTCTTGTCAAGGGGCATTATGTGGGAGAGCAAAGGTTAGTTCTCCCTAGTTATAAATATAACCCAAAGCATCCTAATTTATCTTACCCAGTTATGGATCTCTTTGAATATATTAAATATTTATCTTTTATAATATTTTTTCATCTATGTCAGCTTTGTGATATATTCTGAAATTTCAGATGGATCAAATAGGCTTCAAATTTAATCTGGCCCTTCACTTTCAAAGAATTGTCCTTGGTTTTAGTATTTCAGAATTTCATTTACGTTCAGATCAGCAAACATACAGTGACTGTTTATAATGTGCTGGCATTATACTGGGTACTAGGATGAGAGACTCATTAAGTCCCTGTCCTCAAAAAGTTCACTTTCTAGCATTGATGAATAATCAATGTTCACTTTTTATGATTTTAAAAACTTTGTTAATCATATGCTTTATTAACAGATTGATAATCCATTCTTTTATTACCTGGCTAATTGCTCTTTTCTCCCCTGATTACTTCTTAGGACCTTTATTAGCTTTCCTGTTTTCTGGGTATAGACATTTTTCCTGAAGTAGGACACTACTAGTCATTTTGGCTATAGCAGCTTATGGAAATTTCTTCAGGGAACATTGTATACCAGGAGTTAGCAAACTTTTTGTGTCAAAGGCCAGAGAGTAAATATTTTTGGCCTTGTGAACCACACAATATCTCTTCTTTTGACATATGTTTCTTTTTTTTTTTAAATAATCTTTAATGTGGAAAAAATCATTGTTTGTTCTCAGGCTATAGAAAAACAGGCTATATAGTTCCCAACCGCTGATCTAGCACACCTTTTTGAAAATATGTTCTGCAGATTGCTAACTCCACTGCACTGTATGGTCCTTGAAAAAAGGATTCCATGATCAAATAAATTTGGCAAGTGTTGTATGCTATATGATTCTCTTGGAAATTTTTAAGACTCATTAGCATATTAAAGGCTTTAAAAAGCCCTTCGGCATATAAGCTTCTTTTTCCTTGTGGTTCTTTTGTTTTGTTTATTTTTGAGTATGTTACCTATTTGTATTCCATAGATGTAGTTTCTTGGAATGTTGGCTTATATATGATTTCTGAATCATCTCCTGATCATATGTTATAATCAAACATGTTTTTTGATTATTTTCTTCTAAATGTACTTTGTCCATGACTACTCAGAAGTTCATTGAAAAATATTCTATATACTTACTGGATTGTGAGTTTTAAATTTATACATGTAAAAAGAACTGGAATATCTGTTTCTTAGCAGTTTTCTCTACTATCATCTTATAACACTGCTAACATATTTTTTTCTCTCTCTTAACCAGGAAAAGTGGGTTGAAGTCGCCTCAATGAAAGTGCCAAGAGCAGGCATGTGTGTTGTCGCAGTCAATGGTCTTCTGTATGTTTCTGGAGGTCGTTCTTCCAGCCATGATTTCTTGGCCCCAGGTACCTTGGACTCAGTTGAAGTTTATAACCCTCATTCAGATACATGGACAGAAATTGGTAACATGATCACCAGTCGTTGTGAAGGGGGTGTTGCTGTACTATGAAATATAAAGCATGAGCACGCAAGGAACATTTTGAAAATGTAAGATCTGATCTTTTGCAAAGCAGACATATATTTGGTGATAGTATCCTCTGATTCTATTGTGTTTTCCCTGTGTTTGATAGATAACTGACTAAAGAGTGATTTTTCTAAAAATTTTATTGAGAAGGGATATGAAATATATCCTAAATTAAGAGCTCACACAAATTTGCCACAATTATGAACAATAGAAATGCTGTTTATGCTTGAGAATTATCCAGTTAAGCGTATAGTTCTATTCGTAAAAATTACTTGCTAGAAGCTTCTTGAAAAATAGCCCCTTTAAAGCTTCTCCAGTACAAGTTGTAACAGGACCTTTATATGATGTAGGAATAATATCAATGAGACAGTTTAAACATTTCTATACATTCATGATTCAATCCAGAGTGTGCTTCTCCATGGCCATAGTTTGACCTACACAGAAAAGCCAATGAAACAACTTCCTACTTTTATTTGATGCCAGGAGTTTTCACTAGCCCCAGACTTTTTATTGGCAGCAGATATACTAGGAGGGGGTGTGTTTTGTTTGTTGATAGCAGCCAAAGAAAACTTCTGCTTGCTTATATTTTTTGTCTTGATCCTGAGAGTGCAAGTAAGGAATTAATAGGAGGTTCTTAGTGACAGTCCTTGATTGTAATAGGATGTTATAACGGGCAATAGAGCCCAGCAGGAAGCATGCACCTAGAAATTTCTTCCTTATTTTCTAGATAGTTACCAAAAGTATCTGTTTGGCTTTAGGAGGAGGGAATTTTATTAGATTATCCTGCTTTGTGAAATTTACTTATACTTGGGCAAGGCTAAATATGACCATACTACAAAGCTGCTACCTGGCTTGGGGAAGCCTGAATTCTAGGTACCTGTAAAACTGTTTATAGACACTGACTCATAAGTGTAATTTGTAAGGCCCCCTTTATCCAAAACTGCTTCTTAAAACTTATTATTTTCTCTCTCAGAAGCAGTCAAAGGATTGTTCTTTGTTTAGTTCTGAGGGGAAGATTTATCATGTGTATGATCATTACTTTTAAGTTATTTCTACTGGCCTGTCGGAGCCATGTATTAAAGGTCTTGCATACATTAAGGTTTAACTAGTTGACTTAAGGATTTGATTTCCCATTTCTTTACTAAGGTCCTTCAGTATATTATTATAAGCAACAGCAACTTATTTAGATAGAAAAACCTTGGGTTGCATTAATGACATAGGTAGCACTCATATCCAAAATATTTGGTTGGCTCACAAGGATACTTTGTTTCATAACTCAACCATATACATGTATTAGGAAAAGCTTATGTAGTGCAGACAGAAAGCTCTGTGTCCCCTTCTGTGGGGTATTCCGAAAGTCTGAAGGGTCACAGATGCCGGGTAGAGATCTATAAGATATCAAAGAATAAAGTATAAAGATAATTTGTAGACTAAGCTCTAACTAATATGCCTTTAATATTTCTAGTTACACAGAATCTGTTTTCTGATTCGAAACAGATTTGCAAAATATTCCTATAATTCTCATTATTGTCTAGTACCAACTGAAAATGGCACTGTGAAGGGAGGTGTTTTGCACTACTGTGGCAGAAATATAACGTCAAGACAATCAGTGTTTGGGTTTAAAAGGTCCAGACGATCCCTGAAAATAGGTAACTGTAAATATGCTTATTATTTCCTTGGGTAATGACAGATTGTTTTTTAAAAGAATGTACTAATAAAGCATCTCGATTTTTTTTTTCTTTGTATTACTTACTAGTTTATCAGCGGCATTCCTGGATTACCAAACTGTAGTAGGATTGCACAAATTTTTAAGTTTAATTTAGGGATTTGCACATTTAGTTTTACATATAATTCTGTTTTCTGAGCAACTATTAAAGTGATCTTCCTCCAATATATTTCAAAATATCCCACCCGATACACTTAATCAAATGTACTTAAAAATCAGTTTTCTTAAAGAAGCATACACTGTAATTCACTTGCAAAATTGCATTTTTTTAGTAAAATCAGGTAATTAGCCTAAAAATAGGACTTGTTCCTGTTCTGGAACATAATGCATTTAATTCGGATTAGGGATGTTTTAAGTTTCTATAGTACTCATGCAATTTAGAAGCAAAGGAATTTCCTTATCAAAACAATCTGAGTAGAATCTGAGATCTGAAGGGTATGAGATTTCTTTCCTTCCACACTGGCCTGTAGACTACTCTCTATATTAATAAGGAAAGATACTAGCTGGGCAGAGTGGCACACATCTGTTACCCAGCTACTCAGGGGGCTGAGGTAGGATTGCTGGAGGCTAGGAGTTTGAGGCCAGCCTGGATAATGCAGCAAGACACCATTTCTTTAAAAAAAAAAACAAAAACAAAAGATTCTGTAGTTGTTTCAGCCATGGACTTTAACTGGTAAGCTTCTAAATGATCAGAATGAGGTCTAGCTCTGTGTTGTATTAGTTTGTTAAGGCTAACAAAATACCACACAAATTCAAACAACAGAAGAAATTTATTGTCTCATAGTTCTGGATGCTAGAAATATGAAATTCAGGTGTTGGCAGGCTTTGTTCCTTCTAAGGGCTGTGAGGGAAGGATTTGTTTCATGCCTCTCTCCTTAGCTTGCAGATGGCCATCTTCACATTCCCATGACATTCCCTGTATGTGTGACTATCTCCAAATCTTTTCTTTGTATAAGAACACAAATCATGTTGGATTGGAGCCCACCCCATCACCCCATATTAACCTTATTACCTCTATAAAGGCCCAAATAAAGTCACTCTGAGGTATTTGGGATTAGGACTTCAACACACAATTCAGCCCATAACAGGTGTGTAAGAAGGTAAGCAAGTTACTACTCCAGACTCTCATAACTCTTCACAGCAAAAATCACTAGAAATGGCCGGGCATGGTGGCTCACACCTGTAATCCTAGTACTCTGGGAGGCCGAGGTGGGAGGATCATTTGAGCTCAGGAGTTCGAGACCAGCCTGAGCAAGAGCAAGACCCCATCTCTACTAACAAAATAGAAAGAAATTAGCTGGACAACTAAAAATATATAAAAAATTAGCTGGGCATGGTGGCACATGACTCTAGTCCCAGCTACTTGGGAGGCTGAGGCAGTAGGATTGCTTGAGCCCAGGAGTTTGAGGTTGCTGTGAGCTAGGCTGACGCCATGGCACTCTAGCC